GTGTAATCAGCTAACATAAATAACTGCATAAATAGTTTTTGTATTCTTAAGTCTGTAACTGTTTTTATAAAATACATTAACATACTTTATTGTAGTTTTCTTTTTATAATTTTGTTTTTGACTGACACATTATAAGGTTTTTTCAATATAAAATGCTGTTGAATTCAAATAGTCAGTCTATATTTCCAGAAAATAAAAAATAGCCATTCTTTGCAGTAAATTCTTTTAAGAATTTGCTTTTCCCTAGGGAAGTAGAGGGTTTCCTGGTCCACCAGGGCCAGCTGGCGAGTGTGATAATTCATACTTAGAGGGGAGAAACCACACAAGTACTGGGCCTCCAGGACTTCCTGGAGATGTAGGGATGAAGGTAAGGTGAAATTCTGTATAAGATTTAGAAAAAATTTGTTTATTATAATTTCTTCAAATAAGTGTATGTTTTTTTATATTACTGTATAGCACTAACTTACAAACATTTCGGAAACTTCATTATAAAGCTCTTATTTATTTCATGAGAACTCTACCGATACTTAGTGTAATTTATTTCATTTGCTTAAGATGACATCTTAAAATATAATATTTAATTAAAAAAATATATTTTCAAAATATTCCTAATGTAAATAATTTCAGATGTCTGGATAATGTGAAAATGCAGGGATTTTAAAAAACTTTGGAAAATAAAGGTTTTATGTACATAAGGCATCATTACAAGTTTAGTAGAATGATTATATTTGAATATAAATTGTGAGAATGCCAGTTTGGCAGTATGCATGTTAACTTTTCCCATCCAGTAGCTAAACTATAGCTCTTCACACTCAATATCCTTATCGTCATTTTTGACACTTACTAACCACACTATAATTCTTCACACCTAATAACAAAGCTGTAACTTTCCAAGCCCATTATAATCAACCTATAGTTCTACACACCAAACTGTGATTCTTCACAAAAACTTTCACAATTGTAAGTTTAGCACATGTAACTTTTCACACTAAGTAATCACACACACTTTAGCTCTTTCAAATTGTATTAAACAGGTTTTCACAATTACCATCTTAAATGTAGATTTCCACACATAATCTCTCAACCATAATTCTTCTCCTAGACCATATTTTAACTGTAACCCTTTATTCATAGACTTTTAACTGTAGTTCATCACATTCATATATGTAAATGATAGTAAATGATTAATGATAATTCTATCTTTACATATACTCTCTTAGATATAGCTCTTCATCCATATAGTTTTAGATATTGTTTTTCTCACTTAATCATTTAGCTGAAGCTCTTTAACACACAAAACCTTTAATTAACTTTATCTCTTCACACAAACACACTTCTAACTGTAGTTTATTCCATACTCAGACACAGTACTGGTTATAACTTTTTCAAGCAATACTGCATCGTAATATACACTACTGATGTAGAAATTCTAATTAATAAGAAAACATCCTCAAAACAGCTAATCACCAATTACTATTCTTGTGCTTTCTTCAAGGGAGAAAGAGGAGAGAGTGGTGACCCAGGCTTTGATGGAATTCCAGGACCACAGGTAGTTTTTTCTCTTAGAAATATTCTATATTTATATCACCATGAACAGTCTTTTCTTTACCAAGTATTGTAGATAGTTAATAAGGTTTTTACTTATAAAAAAAAACTTCAATATTTAAATAATTGCAATATAGTATATACTCAAGTTAAAACATCTTTTGAAAATTTTTATAATGAAAGTATAATTTTTTTCTCTAAATATGGAAGGTAGTGCAGTTGATGAAACTATAACTAGATTAAAAATAAAATGAAAGAGTTAACAAAAATATTTCATAGTTAAAAACAACATTTGAGCAAAAATGTTTTGATAAAAAGACCTAAAAGCTGAAGTTACTACAATGATTTTATAAATTACTGTTAGTTGATCTAGAGGATTACAATAAATGTCTGCATATTATCAAATTTATGGTTAAGCTTAAAATGACCAATTAACATAAAAAATAACAAATAGCAGAAATATCTTGTTTTGTTAAAGAAATAAAGAGAAACTTCAAACAAAACTTTAAGGAAATAAAATAAAATAATTTATAGAGTCAATCCACTCAGATAAATAGTAGTATTTTTACTGTAATATTTGTGTACTACAAGAGAAAGTTTTCTTACTTCACATTAAAGTGCCATTGAAGTTAAATAGTTTAAAATTATCACTGAAGCAAAGTGACACAATAATCATATTAGAACTTTTGCAAACAATTAATTCATCACTTGATTTGTTAATGGGAAAAGTTTGTCATCAAAGTGTTATAAAAGTAAATTGTATATTTAGCTGCAGCATAGCAACTCATAGAATGGCTCCGAGTGTTTTTTCAAGTACAAGCATCCAGCTCACAGCTCCATCATCTCTTGACCAATTTTAGATTTAATTACAGTTTTTGACTTAGAAGGTTAAACCACTTCAGTTGATATATTTGACCTCACCCAAGATCTCATACATTAATGTACTCTAATCCTGTCTAAAAGAATTTCAATTTGAGGGTAGGCTGGTAGAGACCCTGATGAGTAATAAAATCGAATCGGGTATATGCATGCCCCATACTTGGTATTGCTGGTGCACAAAAATGTAGCTAATAAAATGTACAAAAAAGGTCTCATAGATAAATTTACTCTAATCCTACCTAAAATAATTTCAAGTGCTGCAGCTATTGAGGATTCCCTCTTGTTTTTGTTTAATGAGCTTTGGAAAATATATATGGAAATATTTTAAGGATTGACTATCCATTGCTCTGTGATATAATTTATTATTTTCGTTTTTATTATTGGTGTTTTCTATTTGTAGTATTTTACTAAGTAAAGATGTCGTTTGTTGTAGGGTAAGACAGGAGACATTGGAATGAAAGGAGAGAAGGGTTTATTTGGACAACCTGGACCAAGGGTAAATAAATAATTATTTAAACAAAATCATAACTTGAACATCATGATTGCTGTACTCTGAGTAACAGTTATAGGTTCATTGTATTAGATATGTTTTATGGTGGGTCAGAGGTACGTTTGAGCATTTACAATTCTAAAATCCATAGTTCAGAGCTGAGATAGCCTTTTGTGTAGCTTTGCATTAAAACAAAACAATCTATTAAATGTACAAAAACATTACTAAATTTTCCAATTAGTTTATCATGTAAGATTATTACAGTGTGTTCATTATCATTTGTCAGAACTTACCTGTTTTGAACTGCATTTAACTATGACTGACTGAAGTAATATTTTTTGTAAAGTATATATGTCTCAGTTTGTTGCAGTTTTTTTAAAAGATTAATATCATGGTCTCAAGTTATGATGTACAACTGATACTTTGATTTTGTTCAAATATTTTATTGTGGTATCCTCAAATAAAACTGATTATATTTATTGACAAGATAGCTCCACTGAATAACAAGAGATTTGACAAGATATTTATCACAAAGTAGTTCCGATTGTCCCTGAAACTAACTGGGTTTTTAAAAATGAAATAGAGAGGCTGGACACGATGTAAAATGCAATGAACAATCTTTATCAAATAACATAAACACAGTGTGTGTAATTGCATTGGACACTGAATAGTTCCTTTTACTGGATCAGAGATAGTAACTTCTATCATACTGACGTTGCATAGCATATTTAAAGACTGTTTAAACATTATGTTACCTAATTAAAATGTAACATTACTTATAAAGAGTGACTAATGCTACCTACATGACTAGTCACTCTTATTCAAACTTAAGGGAGGTTGTAACCTCAAGGCATCACTGACCTACCATTGGAGGACACTGCTGTTGATAGCCTTGTACAACAGTCAGACCAGGCATTACCTCAAGAGAATGACAAAGAACAAAGTAACTAGAATGAAAGAAACTTAATGACTTTCTTCACTAAATGTTATATGAAAATTGCACATTCCAGAATAACTCAAAAATTTCACAAAATACAATATTAAAATAAGAAGATAGGAAACATGTGGTATGCTTATTTATACACTACATTACCATAAATTTTATAATAAAATATTTTAGGGACAGACACAAAAAAGTATTCAATTTGTATAACCATTAGGTTACAGTGGAGATAAAAAGTCTTTTACATGATGATAATACAAGAGCATTTGAAATTAGTTATTTTAAGTAATTAAAGCAATTATATGGAAAAATATTATTTAGCATTCAAACAGTGATGCAAAAAGATACTTCAATATCTTACCAGCTTAATTATTTGGAATGTATATATGTGAAAAGTTCAATAATGTTTGTTATGTAGTTCTTATACTCTTAATTGTGCATATACTATTCTTTGAATTGCAGGGTAAAGAAGGATTTCCTGGCTCTACTGGACCAGCTGGTTATAAGGTCAGAAAAGTTTTTCAGTTTTTTTCAATGTGTAGTTTTCTAAAAATATATATTAAATTTTTTGGGGGTCTGTAGGTCTATAAAATAATTTGTTAACATTTGTGTATGATGTGGTGTTAAATATTCTAGAATATTACATTATTCCTGTAACATTAAATTGTAAAATACTAAACAACAATATGCGATGCTAGTCTTCTGAAAAAATGTATACTTATTAATATAATGTAGAACTTATAAAAGTTTGTGTGGCCTTATAAAAAAGTTATTCTTCTGATTTTAGAAGCTGTTTCAAAATTAACTGAATATGTGTGAAAAACATTCATTTATCTGCTTTTGTCCCCAAAAGTACAAATACAGTGTATGTTAATATATACACCTGGAAAAAAGTTAAGCACCCCCATGTTTTTTTCAAGTGATTCAGATTCGACGTTCTTGTGACTGATTATAAATTACCATTCAATCTAAACGTGTTTATCAAATGAAATTATGCATTATTGGGCACAAGAAAACAAGATTATCACCGTAAAATAAC